GTCCCTGGATCGAGTCCCGCATCGGGCTCCCTGCTCGGCAGGGAGTCTGCTTCTCCCTCTGACCCTCCCCCCTCTCATGTGCTCTCTCTCTCTCTCTCTCATTCTCTCTCTCTCAAATAAAAATAAATAAAATCTTAAAAAAAAAAAAAAGAAATTGATTAATATGCAATAATGTCTTCATTTAATGTTGCACACAAGAAAGAAACTTTCTTCATAGTGTTTTCTCTTAATTTAACCACTGATGAAAACCTTAGGGTAAGATGTTAAATCATGGGTAAGTGAAAGCATTCCTAGTACAAAAGTAACATACAAAGTTGTATGGGTCAGGTACACAATTTTCTGGTGAGTTAACATAACGTAAGGCACAGTGAGTAATAATTCCTTTTGCTGGTGGTTCCCAAATATGGGTGATCAGCAGCACAAATTGGGGAGCTGATGAATCAACATCTCTGGGAGAGGGGCCAGAAATCTGCATTTTTAAAAAGCAGGCACCCTTTCACACATGACCCTGTGACTCATTAATTGAGGAGGGCCTGCCTTGCCTCTCCTCCCACAGAGTGGAGTGCTATCCTACCTCTGCATGAGGGCAGGTGCCGGCAGGACCTAAGTCCAGCCGTGTCACTTGACAAACACAGTTCCCTATCTTTTTAAAAAGACAGTTCTTTACCTTTTATAAAGGTAGTTCTTTTACTTTTTTTTTTTTTTTTAAAGGTTTTATTTTTAAGGAATCTCCGCATTCTACTTGGGGCTCAAACTCAAAACCCTGAGATCAAGGGTTGCACGTTCCACCAATCAAGCCAGCCAGGCACCTCAATAGTTCTTTTACTTTGTAAGAATACTACTACATATTAACATTGATATTTGTGAAGTTATTCAGAGTTGTTCTATTTAGATATTGGTTCTCATTTTTAAACTTCAGTGTAAAAGAGTACATTAATTACTCTAACAATAAAATTGCAAATGTAACAAAAAATAACACACAAAAGATGCAAAAATACACTGGATGAAATGAACTGGCCTCTGGTAAGTGAGTGCTGAGAATGCTGAGTGCTTCAGTTGTTAGTGCATGAGTAACATCAAAGAACATTACAGTTATTACCAACACAGTGGTTTCCCAGTAATGTATCCTAGGTAACACCACATTTCCAACACATGGAATGCATGTGGTCAAATCTGCTTTGTCTATTTTGTCTTTCAAAGCTGCTAAATAGCCTCTAGACCTCTCGTGGACTGCCAGTGTGAACCCATCATTACAAGACAGCATTGCTCCCTTTCAGAAATGAAATATGGGGTTGGGTTGGGATGCTGACTTGAGTGATCTAGAAGCCAAGCCCGTGCTCTTCTTTCCACTCTACTGTCTTAACTGATGATGTGCTGGCTTACGAATATCCACTCATCTTTCCTCTCAGGCAAGAGCACATGAATACAATTCTATTCCCAGTACTAATTTCTCAGAGTAGAAAGACTCATAGGTTCATGTATGATGATCATATATCAGGAAATTTACATAGCATTTCTAGACACCTTACTGGAAGAGAGAACAACAACAAAACTCTTTCAAATTGAAATGGAAAATACTCGTTTTCCATAATGTGGAACAAAATAGGAATTCCCATGTCTTTCTATAGCCCAACCAATGATTAGTACTGGTTTCCACTAGACGGACCCTAACTTGTCCAAGTCACTTTATGATGTAAAATTTATTTTTAATTTTATGTTAAATTGACATGTATCCTGAAGATTTTTAAGGGACATCTGCAATTTTTTATTCAATGAGTAAATACTCTGAAGATCAGAAAACCCAAGCAAGAATCATTGTACTAAAACCAAACTACAGGGGCGCCTGGGTGGCTCAGTCAGTTAAGCATTTGCCTTCGGCTCAGGTCATGATCCCGGGGTCCTGGGATCGGGCCCCACACTGGGCTCCCTCCTCAGCGGGGAGTCTGCTTCTCCCTCTGCCCCTGCTCATGCTCTCTGTCAAATAAATAAAATCTTAAAACAAAACAAAACAAAACTACAATGTTTACACACAGAATTTCTGTGAAATATTTCATAAACTCAGTTCTTTAGCATTATTCTTGCTGTTTGTTATTATTGCTACTGTTATTGTTATTATTAGCCATTTTATTTTAAAAGTTATTTTCAATTTAACTTTAACAATAAAATTTGAAAATCAATTTTTTAGGCACTAGCTGTGCAGGTCAAAGTGGTTTGACTCTTGTGCTAAGGTAATAATGATCAACCGTCAGTACTTTTCTTTTTCTTTTTTTTTTTTAAGATTTTATTTATTTATTTGACAAAGAGAGACACAGCGAGAGAGGGAACACAAGCAGGGGGAGTGGGAGAGGAAGAAGCAGGCTCCCCGCTGAGCAGGGAGCCCGATGCGGGGCTCGATCCCAGGACCCTGGGATCATGACCTGAGCCGAAGGCAGACACTTAACAACTGAGTCACCCAGGCGCCCCAACAGTCAGTATTTTTCAATCATTTTGCCTTCTTCAGATTACTGTCTTTATTACTATGAAAATGACCAGAGTCATTAGGGCTCAGCTTCCCAACTGAAGCCACGGCCAACCTTGCATCTGCTGTGGGCATTCAACAAGGCCCTGCGTGGCATTCACATCTGTCACCGACTGTCACAGGGGCCTTGCCCTTACATGTTTGAAAACCCCAAGGAAGGAGAGGGTGATATGGGGATTTTTCCCTTCATATCTGGTTCTGATATTGTTGAAGTAATTTTAAAATAGATCATATGAGGTTCATATAAAAGCCAAGGGAGGAGCTAAACTGGAAATCCGGACAAAATCAGTTGCTCAGATGCTAATAGTTCTGGAATGTAAACGCTGGGAGCAATCCATGGTTTGGGCCACTTCCTCCGAAGATTTGTAGGGAAGTTTGGAACGGCCTCCAGCAAACTACATGTTTTAAAGAAGGCTGTATTTTCTTTCATAGATGAAACTTCCTGTGTGTGTGTGTGTGTGTGTTTGTGTTTTAAAAATTTATTTACTTGCAATTAAAAAAGACTTCTCACCTTTAGTGCTTCCATGCCAGCCTGGATGACAGGAGCAAAGACAGTCTCATTTTCATTAGAGTCTGCAAACATCTCTGGAATCTGGTCCAATAAACTATAAGAAATGAATGAGTAAAAGGTTTTAAATGTTTAACATATTTGTAATAAACTTCAAGAAATAAATCACTAGCATTTCAAGCCTAAACAATAATAAATAAATACATATGGTATTTATTTCACACTAAACACCTATGGGTGACTTTCATAGGTCATTCCTTAGGGAATAATATCCACACATATGGTATTTATTTCACACTAAACACCTATGGGTGACTTTCATAGGTCATTCCTTAGGGAATAATATCCACACATATGGTATTTATTTCACACTAAACACCTATGGGTGACTTTCATAGGTCATTCCTTAGGGAATGATATCCTGGCATGTCTTGGAACCAAAATTTATGATTTGTTTGGAACATTTACAAAAGCATACCATTTACATTTTTGACTTCGTAAACCATAAATTCTTGGAACAGTGGCTGTATCTTCAGTTATTATCATCATCATTGAATACACTCATTCATATGCAGGAAATTTCTCTCTCTAGCAAAGAGAAAGGACTGATCTGGTTGAGTGTGAGTATTAAAAAAAAAACTCCTCCTTGGGGCGCCTGGGTGGCTTAGTTGGTTGTGTCTTGACTCTTGATTTTGGCTCAGGTTATGATCTCAGGGTCATGAGATCAAGCCCCACATCGGGCTCCACTCTGGGCATGGAGCCTGCTTAAGATTATCTTTCTCTCCCTCTGCCCCTTCCCCACTGCTGTCTCTCTCTTTTTAAAAAAACAAAAAACGAAACTCCTATTTTTAGATATTGGTGTACATTTAAAATAGAACATAAATGATGGAGTTTTATAATCCATGTGTTAAAACCCCCTTGCTAATGACAAACAAAATAATGTGTGATTGAATCAAAACAATTAAAAACAGATACCTGATTTGTATCTAAATTATAAAACACTTAATATTTACTTATGAATCACTGATTGGGATTCTTGATAGTTGACAAGGAAACCGTCCAATAAAGGAACAAAGACTTCTCCCACATCGGTCACCACCATCATCTGAGGCTGGGCCAAGTTACTCTTTACATTAAAGAAATGCAGCACTTTGTTATATGTGATAAAACCAACTCGGATTGCAGAAGTTTCTTCTTGCTCTTCCCTATGAGAAAAACATAGTGTTTAAAGTTCTTTCATATATTTATGAAAGGTTTCTATCAGAAATTCACTAAGTACACCTTCTATAAAATATATGGAAGAGATGTTTAAAGTTTTGCTCTTAATTATTGTTTACCAGTGTAAACAATACTGAGTCACAGTAGGGGATGGGGATATTACAAAAAATAAGTTGATAAAGAAAAAGCTGTCAAAATTCTAGGTAAAGTCAAACAGATATGAAAATATATTTCTTTAATATATTCCTTTCTTTAATATAGGTATTCTCAATCCACAGCAATTACAAGTTGTACTTTTTTTTTTTTCATAAACACGCTAGGCGTATTACATTCTTCATAAACAAAGCTCTCTCAGAAGTCACCAGAAGGTCAGAAGAACAAATGGAACATCTGAAGCAAGAGAAAGGCACACTCAGATTACAAATAGAATAGCTATTTTTATCAAGAAAGGACTTGCTCCTTCTATGTGATTCTTTTCTTACAGATTCTAGAGAATCTCAATAGAAATTGAGAGATTTTGAGAGCCATATACTATATAAATATATAAAATAAATCACATATATAAATTGATGATGTAATTCTTATTAGGTAGCCATTTGTGATGTCATGGCAAGACAATAAAGGTAATAAAAGCTCTAAAACCAAAACAAAAAGCATATTTTTTTGAGAAATCCCAAAATAAGGCCTTGATCTTCCTGAAAGGAGTGTAAGGCATAAATATTCTTATTCAAGTCTATATGAAGTTATACTCAGAGTTGAATGGTCTAAGCTCCAGTTAATATTTACCCAAGTTTCTCTCTGTCTCCCTTCCTCTCCCTCCTCCCTCCTAAAATACTACCGAAGCTCTTACTAATTTTCATTGGTGGATATAACCTTGCTCAATGGTTACATGACAGCCACAAAAGATATATGCTATTTTCTTTGATCCTTAGATATCAGTAAAACTTATTTTGCTTAGGGACAACTTTTTTTAAAAAGTACCTAGTATGCTCAGTGTCTAAACTTTGCACATAGCATGAGTTACTTGAGTAAGAGAGAAAGGAAAATAAAATATATAGATGAAAGGATCTTAAGTTCAAATTGTTGATCCCATTGCAGACTTCCCAATTTCTTTGATGTTTCAGCAGGGTACAGGCTGACAAACTACTGACTTTAAACTCTATCTCTTCTTTACTTCCTTTGCTAATTGAGGGTATTTATTCTTCACCGTGGCCTTCATAAATGGGTGGGCAGTTTAAATAGGTCCTCATAATCCCTTCCAAAAGCGCTTGGTAAATGTTTATACTCTGGACTCTTGCAAAATTTTCAGAAATGGTATCCTTATCCTTTGTAACTGCACATACACCGACTTATAGACCCACTCACCCCCCTCAATATCCTAAACTATATGATTTCATGCCACTAACCATTATACTAGACTGTACCCATGTTCTCCCTCCCCCCGCCATTTATTAGAATTTTACTCTTTAAGACCAAGCACAGATACTCTTCCTCTCTCAAAGCTCCCCTGATGCTACCAACCAGAAGTTATTTCCTCTTCTAAATTTCTACAAATCATTCTCACTGGGCTTTTAGTATATAGTGCCTTTTAGTAAACATACCATGAATCCTTGACTATAAACCAATAAAGACCCAAAGTTTATGCTCTCTGCTCCTGACAGGGTCTAGTATAACATGGGGAGGTAGAGGTATGTTCAGGATGATTATCGTGATGGTGAAATGCTGTATTTAGGATGGCAAGTTAGAGCCCAAAATGATAAACTGATCATATGCATCTCTTCTGAACTCCTGTTTAGTGATGTCGCCTTGCTAGTTCAAAATCGGCCTGGCTGGAAGTATTTTACACCACAGGAATAAGCAAACACTACAATTAAGGCTTTATTTATTTGAGATCCAGTTTACCAGCATACCACTGGCTAAGCTCCCATTTCCGAGTAAACCTTTTATTACATAAGGTGATAAATGTCCGGCAAATCCTGAGGGCATTTATTCTCTTTTAATAGTTAATTTAGAGTCAATTAAGGCAAAAGACACAAAAGAAAAATTACAGAGAAGAATCTAGATTGCTATTTCCCCTTGGATTTGGACATTTTCAAGTGATGGGAAAGGCGTATCCTGGGATTCACAGGGTTCACTTAAAATCTAAACTAACATTTTAAAAAACTTCTAACAGAACATCTCACATTATTGCAAAATATTAGTATATGTTTTCATGGGAATATATTTTTTTTTAAATTTGTTTGAGAAACAAAGAACTATCTTAAAATTTTCTTGTTCAACAGTAAAACTGCCTTGTTAAATCATATCCAGAAGAAAATGAAATCTCAGCCTCTCCTTCATATTAATTCTATATAAATTTAATAAAGTTACATAAGGGATATCACACAGAACAACACATGTTTCTTCTTTTGCTTTTCAATTACCACTTCCTTCCACACGTGTCCCTGTTATTTTAATGGAATGAATCTGACAGAGCAATACTGAAGATGTTAGTAACTAGATGAATCAGAATATTCAAAAATCAAGCATTTTGAACATTTTAGCTACAGCAGCATTAAAAACAACCAGAAAAAAAAAAAAAAAAACCCAACTGCTTGATCTGAACAACAGATGAAATATTTCAAATCTTTTCTTTCCTATTCCAGAGAAATCAGACAGAAATGGCATCTGGCAAAATCAAAGATGTAAATTCAAAGTTAAATAGTAAAGAATGGGGCCTTTACTTTTCAAAAGATTTGCTAAGAGATGAACATACCTTAGACATTAATCAAGACATATACTGTGCTTTAAAAAGGCTATTTGGCATATTACCTGGTTCAAGGAAAGTAAATCAGACTGATGGCAATCTTACCATAAAAAATAGAAAGTTATACACATACAGAGCCCAAAACAAACTTCAGGGAAGAAAAAAAAGCAACCAGATTTGTTTTAAAAGATAAAGGAAGAAAAGGCATTTTGGTTTCAATTAAAACTTTGAAGAGAGATATTTAAATAGTAGCAGGGAATAACTAGCAGTATCCTTTTATTTTTCTTCTCCTATCTTTTGCTAAAGTCACAATCTGCTCCAATGGGATATTAAAGTCATGATAACATCTAAGGAAGGAGTGTAGTTTCATGACTTATATCAACAGGCTATACACTTCATATCACACTGTGTTGGAAAGGAGCAAGGGGTTAGTGAGGTAACTAAGAGAAGAGGATAGCCTAATCTAACCAGTTTGAGAGAAGGTAAAGAGACAGACATCATTTCCAGAAATTAGAGTAGTTTTCTTTCATATTATTCAAGCTCCAAGTTCAGATTTAGAATTAAAACAGCCCTGTGAGAGAAGTCTATAAGATATATGATATTCAGGGATGCCTGGGTGGCTCAGTCGGTTAAGTGTCTGTCTTCGGCTCAGGTCCTGATCCCAGGGTCCTGGGATCGAGTCCCGCATCGGGCTCTTTGCTCAGCACGGAGTCTGCTTCTCCCTCTGCCCCTCCCCCTGCTCATGCTCACATGCTCTCTCTTTCTGACAAATAAATAAATTAAATATTAAAAAAAAAGAGATATATGATATTCAGCAGGTAGTCCACACTTCTCAAGTATCACTAAGAATGAGGTAACAGAAGCTACAGTCACAGTCAGCAGGCATCACATGCCTTTCTTATGCCCCATCTTCAATTTGCTCCCAGTTCATTCTTCATTTTAGAATTCAGTTTGAAATCACCTCAGTGTTTTTTAAACATCCCCAAGGCTTTTCCAAACCATCCTTGGGAATATTATGACTTGAGCTTCATAGATACAAACAAAGCTACTCCTGGGAGGTCCAGAGTTCAGTCTTTGAGGCTCACATGCACCAACACAGCAGCCACATATGGAACGAATATAGAGGAATGGGCACCCAAGGACTCAGGAAGCCCTAAGGACTATAGACAACCCATCCCTCAATGCATCCCTTTCCAGAACAGAGATTGTTTATGTTCAGGATACAGGGAGGGGTGGAAGATGTTGAGCCTGGTGCAGACACGAGGTTTCAGACAATATTCCTTAGCCTTTTTCTTAACCATGTTTCCTCTCATAAAGGATCTTCTTACTAGATGGTACTTCCCACCCTAAACAATTAGTCTGTACACTATAAAAAACAGCCATGTTTGCTGAAATACCTTTCCACCTTTCCTTTTGTGCACTGCCCCCTGCAGTGACAAAGAAAGTCATCTACCTTGTGCCAGGACCTGGAGGCAGTAAAGCAGCAAAGGGGTTTGATGGTGTATAAGGGCAAAGGAAATCTGGCTAAAAAGCTACCATCCCTGCTGTAAGACAACAATTCCGTTTCCTGGCATCCCTGAGAACTCTACTACAACCCACAGCTACCGGTTTCCACTGGAAAATCAACCCCTTTGAAAGTGAATAACAGACTTCCAAAGTCTTTCCCATCACACTGTTGGGAATCTCCTTTTAATTTATAATGTATTTTGAATATTGTTTACCATAGCATTACTTTTTATCAGTTTGTTTCTTTTGTTTTATACAAAAGATAACTCTGGACTTCTTAAGGACTCAAAAAAAATAGTGCTGTTTGATTTATAAATATTTGCCCAATGTCCTCATTAGCAAAAGATATCCATGGGTCATTCAGCACTTGTTTTCTGGCCAATAAGCTAATTCCGTAATATTGTGCAAATTCTAAAAATAATGGGAGTTCCCTTACTTTGGAAGTTTTTCCAGCACAGTCTTCAGTTCTTCACATATGAGCTTCACGAGTCCGTTCTTGACATTACTATATGAAACATCAATCATGAAGATAAAGGCTGGTGGATTGGGAGGCTTATTCTTCTACAGGAAAGCAAACAGATCACACAAATGTAATTATAAAGTATATACACTCCATAATCAAATTAAAACACTCAGAAACTCCTGAAGATCATCAAACTTTTCATTTAATATTTTAGGATATAACATTTGTGGAATTAAATCATTTTCTAGAACACAGTCTCTGATGCTATAAAAAAGATAAAAGCTGTTTGTTTTCCAGGGTATGACCTGCGGCACACTATGGAGTTAGACAGGATTATGATATCTAGCAGAGAAGCTTCACTTTTATAGCACTCCAAAGACCTTATCACTACAATTACCCAAGGGTGAGTACAGTCTGGTGGCCAGCCTTGCTTATAACCCTCTGCCTTATGAGAAGAAATGTGTCTGGTACACCTTGCCAAATTGAGCCCCCAAAGAGTACATACAATAATTAGCACTTGTCTTGAAACTAGTAAAACTTCATTAACTTGATAACACTATTTTCAAATCTTTTCCTTTATAAGCTCTTTCAGTTTTAAAGATATGAAATTATATATTAAACTATAATTGTAGGGTTGCCCGGGTGGCTCAGTTGGTTAAGCGCCTGACTTCGGCTCAGGTCATGTTCTCAGGGTCCTAGGATCAAGCCCCAGGTCTGTCTCCCCGCTCAGCAGGGAGTCTGCTTGTCCCTCTGCCCCTCCCCCTGTTCGTGTTCTCTCTCTCTCTTAAATAAATAAATAAAATCTTTAAAAAATAATAAAATATAATTGTATACCTTAAAACTGTACTATATTGTCAAATACTTACCTATACCTTACATATTTATGGTTAAAAATGGAATATTGGGCCTTTTCTCTATCTGTTTAAAACAATCACTGTAACATAAAGCAGCTGTTACATAAATGTTTTGTATCTGTTGGTCCCTTTACTGGCTGGGGTTCAAAGAGCACTTAGGAAGTGATTCTTCAGTTGGGTCTTACAAAATATTCAGAAAACAGAACCACAGGCAAACTTAGTGACTCAAACTAAAACAAGAGTTCAGGTTAATTCAATTTTTAACTTTATGATAAATGACAAAAATTTTCTAAAATAAAATTGTATTTTAACTATTATAATTATAAAAGTACATGATAATATCTCCAAATTACCTTACTAATTAATTCTATATCCACTAGAAGGCTAGGTATAACACTCTTCTAATAAAGTCTGTCATTTGAAATAAGAAAACTGCAGGACTTAAAAATCTTCAACATAAATGCTTCATCGCTTTGTCACATTCAAAGTCAGACCAACAAAGAAAACAAAGAACTCCACTGCTGTCTATCTGAGCATTTTTTTTTTTTTTTGCAAATCATTCCTGATTCCCACCTAATCTAATTTATAATATAGAGTTAAATTGATTTATATCAAATAAAAACAACAATCATTTCCATTAATTAAGCCAAAGCCTCTTTGTGACCAACCCAAATGTGCCTTACCATTCTTGTGTACTCTCTCAAGTTCAGCATTACCAGTTCCCCCAGTGAATACTTTCCATAAATCCAACACGCACATCTCCATGGAATGCTTCACTGTAACTAGTTTTCTATGCATCGGAAACTAATTTCTCATTCCTCTAAATGACATTCTCTTCCAACATCTCTATCAAAAACATCACTACACACCAATTCAAAGGCTTAAAAACATGAAATTAGATCTGACTATTCCTTTTCTTTCCATCACTGAGTCCCACTGATTATCCTTTCAAAATGATCCCTTCACATGTTTTATCTGGTCCCTACTCTTAACCATCCAGAAGTTTGCCATCACATGCCTAGAAAACTCTAATGACTTCATCATTGGCTGCCTGAATTAATTACTCCACTTTTTCAACCCAGCTTGCTTTGTTCAGCCACGCCTAACAGGTATGAACTTTATAAAAACCTGGTTTTCCATTACACCTTACCAAAACCACTCTGTTAAGGGTCACAGACCTCCTGACAGCAAATGAGGGACTTTAAGTAAAATCCAGCTCTCATCCTAAATCTCTTTTATCTCTCCAATTTTAGGCATGGCAGACCACCTTCACTTTTTTAGGTGTCAAGGCACTGTGGTGTCATTTCCTCTCCCACTTTTCTTTTTTTTAAAGATTTTATTTATTTGACAGAGAGAGACACAGCGAGAGAGGGAACACGAGCAGGGGGAGTAGGAGAGGGAGAAGCAGGCTTCCCTGTGGAGCAGGGAGCCCGATGCGGGGCTCGATCCCAGAACTCTGGGATCATGACCTGAGCCAAAGGCAGACGCTTAACGACTGAGCCACCCAAGTGCCCCTCCTCTCCCACTTTTCTGACTGCTGCTTCTGTTTTTCATTTTCTTATCTTTCTCCAAACGACACCCTCTTCTCTTCTCTTACCACATGCTCCATCACAGAGATCTTATTTACGCAATTTTAACCAGCACCTCTTTATAGGTGACTCCTCAAATTCTTTCTCATCATGGTCTCTTTTCTGAGCTCCAGACCAGCATTCTATTTAACTATAGCAGCACACTTCCATATAAAGGGCCTGCCAAGATCTTCACTCAAAATTGTAGCAGGTAAGATAAGATTTATCCCACTGTACTGGCTTCTCTGTAAGGAATTTAGAGAAAGCATGATCCTCAAAAACAATCCGAGTTTCAAATCTCATTTTCTCCATGGAATTGTCCACCTTTCTTAACCATCCACAACCAGTTAATTGTGAAGCCCTTCTGGTTCCAGTACCCAAATTTAGACCCTCATTTCCAAAATTATTTCTAATTGTGGTAAAATATACATAAAATTTAACACCTTAACCATTTTTAAGTGCATAGTTCAGTGGTATTAAGTACATTCACACTGTTTTGAAACCATCACCACCATCCACCTCCAGAACTCTTTATCTTGTAAGACTAAAACTCTGTGACCATTAAACAATGACTTACCATTCCCCTCTCTCTCTCCAGACCCTGGAAACCACCATTCCACATTTCTACATTCTTACCTACATGAATGTGACAATTCTAGGTACTTCAGAAAAGTAAAATCATAGTATTTGTCTTTTATGTGACTGGCTTATTTCACTTAGCGTAAGTTCATCCATGTTTAACATGTGTCTAAATTTTCTTCCTTTTAAGGCTGAATAATATTCCACGTATGTAACATACCACATTTTGTTTATCCATTCATCCATGTATGGACTCTTGGGTTACTGCCACCTTTTGGCTATTGTGAATAATGCTGCTATGAACATGAGTATGCAAATACCTCTTTGAGACTCTGCTTTCAATTATTTTGGGTATATACCCAGTCACTCTATTTCTAAATTTTTGAAGAACTGCTATACTCCCATGAGTTTCTCTTGCTTGGACTACTGCATTAACTTCCAATATCCCCCTGCCTCCAATCTCTTTCCTCTCATTACACAGACTGCTGTCAGAATAAATGGTCCAAAGACACAATACAGATCACAATGCTAATAATGCCTCTGAAGACAGAATGTTTATTGAGAGTCCTCAAAGTCAAGCACAGAGTTTGGCACAAAAGAATGCTCAATACTGCTAACTGAGTGAATAAATGTGTAGATGGATGGGTAAATGGACTAAGGCAACAACTCCCTCTCTACCTTTAATGGTCCTCATCACCTACTGAATTAACATAAATTCCTCAATGGCCTGGCATTTACAACTCCCCATAATACTCATTAACAAACAGGTATAAAAAAAACCAGGAGATCAAAGGTATGACGCCAAACCCAGTGGTTAGTCTGTATCTCAAAACAATTTCCCAGCTTTACTTCCCATTATTCCCCAATACACATTCCTTCAACTAATTTAAGTGTTTGCCATTTTCAAAGCATTTCCTATCCAGAAGTCACAGTTTAGTAGGCCTGGGCCAAGAATTTGGCCATAAAAGTATTTTGTTTGGCATAGTGTTTTTTTAAAAAAAATATTTGAATATGAATGTGTTTTGGGGGAAAGGGAACATCCTCTCCAATTATCCTAGTTCCCATACTAACTCCACTTCACTCATCTACAACACCCGCCTAGTCCCTGAAGAAAGCGAAGTTGCAAATCCTCTGCTTCTGCTCACTGTTTTGTTTTCCCTTCCCTGCTCACATGTCCAAACTCTGCTCATGGTGTAACCAGCTCAAAAGTCACTTACTCTTTGAAGCCTTCCCTGATCCTCCAAATCATACATCATCGCTTGTCCGTTTCTTATGGCACTAGGATTATTGGACTCATATAGCATTTATCATACTTGGGTTTATATCATAACTATATACTTATTGGGTCTAGACATAGGAAGTGCCTTGAAACCAGTTCATTATCTTGTTATTTGGTATCCCTCACAGCACATAACCAAGTGTCTTGGGCATGTTAGGTATCCATTAAATGTCACAGTGAATTAAAATTAAGTGGAGAGATGAAAAAAGAAAAAAGAAAGGCTGGTTCAGAATGGGGTTTTACATTTCAGTACACTTTCCGTGTAGATATATTCTGTAAACTCTTAAGTGAAAAACTCAGTTATATGACAGAGTTGGGGTATTTTTTTTCCAGGGGAATCCCATGGTGATTTTCTGAAAACTGATAAAGAATAGGGGTTCTATGGTCATGCCAACACAGTTTTCAGTCTGGCTCTAGCACTTTCTATGTGTGTGTGATTTGAGGGTGGCACTTAGGCTCTCTCTAGGCCTCAGTTTCCCCATGTAATGGTGGTACTCACCACATGGGTTCACTTGAGAACTAAACAACACAACACATAAAAAGTACTTAGCATAGAGCATCACATATAGTAAATATCAACGTTAATTTTATTATATAAAATTGGTATCAAGATAAACTAAGATGAATAGGAGAAAATATAATTTTGTATTTCTAAATTTGTGTGGTGTTAAAAAATACATGTACAAATTAAATAAGCTCTTTTTCATTGTCCAAATCCCTAAGGCAACTCATTATTATTCTTTATCTACATTTTGAATTATAATTAAACTTGAAGATACTTAAACTCTTTAAATTTTAAATTTTACTCAGAATAATAAAAGGTAGATTAAGCTTACAAAAAATTCTTTAAAATGTACATTTTTTTAAATTTGGTTCCTTGCCTGCTGGGCGAAATTTCCCATCAATTAGACATCTGGAACATTTCCAGATAACAGAGTTTGAAGATACTGAAACTTTTGTTCCCAGAAATAGATTTGACTCTCTGCCTGAGTTTCTATTAAAAAAGCATAAAATCAAGATTATATAGCTTTTTTGGCAGAGAACTAGAAACTGAGAGCATAGTTATATTTATACTATGGTTGCTAAGATCAATCAATAAATTTTCCATCACTAGTTATTATAATGGCTTTATTTATGGTCTACTTAATCATTTACCTTCAGCCAAGAACAGTAAAGAACAAATAAACTGCCTAAAAGTAGTTGGTACCTTAGGATTTTTTTTGTCTGATATAAAGCATTTATACCAAAAATGTTCTTATGTTTCTCAAAATATGTTCAGATGTTACATTTTGAATTAATAAAGCATTAACTTTTCTTTAATAACTAGTTCTATGTAATGTGGTAAAAGAAATCATACAAAGCACTAAGATAAATGCAAAAGTTATATTAACTGAAAAAAATTAAATCCAATCAATTGAAAAAACTTCTATTCAGGAAAAACGTTCTTTGTAATTTATACTCAATAATGTGGACTGGTCCCCTTGCAAACATCTGTGATAGAATTCTGTGGGTCGGAGGCTGTTTTCTGAGAACTGGGCATCAGTAGGCATTCACATTGGAAGGGGAAGTAAGAAAATTAGTCAGAATGACTCTGTTTCTTCAGGTCTACATATGGTACTTCAGATAGAAGCTGAAATCTGAACTGATACCCAAGAAAATGCTTCCAAATCACCGAAGAATTTTAAAGCCCTGCGAGTTACTCAAAATAATGGTCACTCTCACTGTGACATTGGAAAAGGGAAACAGCCAGTCCTGGGAATAGTAACAGACCTGCCAATTCATTCATTCATTCATTCATTCACCCACCCCACATACACTGATTAACTGTCTTCCCTGTACTAGACACTGTGGTGGATACCCTAAAGAGAGCCAGAACAAGAGTCTTGTCACCAAGAATATTGAAATCTATGAAGAGGGAAAACATTTAAGAAGATTTAAATTTCATGGGGATAATTGCTAAAATAAATATACAGACCAAATTCTATGGAGGGGGGGGAACCCAGAAGAAGTAGTAAATAACCACTATGATCAAGTCAAAGAAAGTTGTTCATGTGCACACATGCACACACTCACATAAGATAAAATTTCAGCCAGGTATTACAGAATGAGTAGGAGTTTGCTAGGTGGGGTATATAGATGTAACAGGAGGATGCAAAGATAGTCTGGTCAAAACAATCTTACCTAAAAGCATAGAGTTAAGGAGTGATGAGTTCAGAGTATGTGGTGAGTGTTTTGTACAGCTGAAGAGATAGCTGAGGTGATAGTATGGAGGCCAACAGTTAATGATCTGATAAGAAAAGCTACATTTTTGAATTTAATTTTTTAGATTAAGGAAGTGGGCAGGAGTCTCACGCTTATATTTAAAAGCAAGGAAACCAGAGGTCAGAATCCTAGGCTCTCACATAGTCCAAGGGAGATTTTAAGAGCCTTAAATCATTGTGGTGACAACTGGTGTGCAGAAAGGAGGTAGAGAAACCTGTCCTAGTCCTATTGACCATATCGGCTGAGTATCTGCCTTGGAAGGGAAAACCTTCTGAGATCTCTGACAAAACAAATAAGGTTGAGGCACTATATGGAACTGTTGCTTTAAGAACTCAGAATATTTTATCTGATAGGGACATAAAAATTAAATTATTGTTTTCTATTTCTGGCACCACTTTTTAGTTTTTAAAAATAATCACTGCTTGGAATAGTTTGGCAATTTAATCATGTTAACAGCCTAGAAGCCCTCATCTGTGTCTGAGGCATTTCTATATCCCCATAGCACCACCAAAATGCTTTGTTTGTGAACCAGGATTCAGTTCTTTACATATGAAAGTTATTCACTTGAGTTTGACATCAATGTATAAACACTTGAAGTCCTGGGAACACTTACTCTGCAGTAATCCAAAGTAGCAACATATTCATAAGATCCTAGAGATAACTCTGGCCTCTCATAGTGGTCCAGCCTTCTCCCGATGTGGTCCAGATGTTGGAAATAGAATGGTGGAACTAATAAAATCAAAATAAGAAAGGAAACTTTTGTTTTCATAACACAGACAACTTAATAAGTTCTTAAAATTTATTATGGGAGGAAAAGAAGTAGTTGAGGGGGAAAAAGTATTTTAAAGCTAGAATGCAGTATATTCTAAATATCCACTATGTAAAAAGCATGTGTGGAAAGTACAAAGGTTTTCTAAAAAATCCTCTTGACTCTTCTGCAAGTTACCGATGACATGTAACATTTATCATTTAGACCACTGTGAAGAAACGGGATAAAAATACCGGTGTTTTTAAATTGCCACAAAGAAAATTTAATTCTCCCTATTTAATTACCTCCTTTAAAAGGAATTCTGACTTTTCTAACTATTTAAATTTTCAATATACCTAATGGAAATATACATTGGTTATTTGGACTCTACTATTAACTACAATATTTGTTATCCTTTAATTAAGAGATGTCTTCAGCCATGGAAAGTTTGCATGGTAATCTTTTAATGTTTGGACTTCAGAGCAGAGAGGATTGCTGTATTAGGGAAAGACTATACCACTAAGATCTCAGCTGAGAACTCTTAATTTGATTCAAATGTCTAAGGAGGTTAGTTCTGGCAACGACCTGGAAGTCATCCAACAGCACAGGAACACTTATGAGTCACACACTGAACACTTGGACAAATATGGCCTGGTATCTCTGTGAAAACAAACTCCTGTTGCCTTGAGATTAATAGGGCTGGCTAATAAACCACTGACAAAAGAAGTATTTAGAATAACCAGCAATGCTCTGGTTTTCAGCATTTCATAAAGAGCAACATATTCATTTGTAAGACTACAGAAGTAATGCGTTCTCTTTTAAAACCAACAACCCAGTATTCTTTATTTTTAGTTGTGAACCAACGTGAATTACAACAAGACTGTTTTTGTAGGTTGGAACTTAAAAATAATCACCAAGAATTGATTTTTCTATTTTCTTACCATAACATGGCCATTTCTTTTAAAACAAGTTTTATAACACTCATATGTACATATGGATCTCTGAATTTGGAAAATTCAAAGTCTTGTAAAGATTATGGAAGTGGGAAACTGACAGTCTCAGCAGAGATAAGGAAACTATGAGGGCCTAAACCTGCAATATTGTTAATTTTAGTTGAGGTAGATGATGTTACATTGACTATTTAGGATTAGGTATGGTAATTTCTACATAGTGTAAACTATAATTCATTTTCATTCACATATATCTACATGTAACATGTGAAATTTTTTTAATTTCATATTCATTAGCATTTCATCTTATCTGTCATGTTTATAAAAAAAATTCAAGTCACATTGTAAATTATGCACTGCCAAATGACACTTATCTTCCTGCATGCTTTTGACCTCACATGCTTCCCACTGTGTAATCTCTGGACACTTTGAAGGGAAATAGAGTGAAACCATGTAACCAAGCTTGCTGGGTTCTTTCTAACTTCAATAAACCTCTGTCTTCTTTAAACCTAAATGAAGAATGCAGGTGTCAGTGTAAATCTATAGGAGTCTGGCTCCTTTTAGCAACGAATATTTGAGCCTAGTATGAATAACCCTATTGGAAAATGAACACAGCAGCCTCCTAGGAGTGAATACCCAAGGGAAGGGAATTTATTATGTAGAGATACAAGAATTCTGAGTGGTTTTGTTTTTTTTGTTTTTTTTTCTACCAGGAAGTGCCTGGGCTCCGAGCTGATACTCTGGGTGTGACGCCAGGGTGTCATAGCAAACTGAAGATCCTGGATCTAAAAGCTACATAAATTTCTGATTACCTTCCTAAGAAAGGTGAGGGTCTGGCTAAAGACATTGAGGAGCTGGTGACCTTGGTGGAGACATTTATCCAAATGCTGCAGGAGGGGTCTCTGCTTTCTCATGACTCTTCCCCACAACACTAAAGTCCAGGGAAATGAATTGTCACAGGGCTCCTGAAGTCCAGGTCCCAAGATGGAGTGGTAGCCAATGATTTGGTTGCAGACTTCATCCAGGATGAAACAAGGAATAAAATCTTCCTTAGAAAGAGAAGTAAGGGCGGAGAACCAATAGAATCTGGTCTCACAGGGATATCCAATTTGCACTGAGTGGATGCCGCAGTTGAAGCAAGGAGAGAGACATTACAAGAGGACCACAGTTTTTGAGATGAGGCTAGAAACCAATGATTCCACTCCAGAGCAAGGCATTTTTAAGAACTGACCAAAGTTTTTGTGAGAAAGACTCCTAATACCAGTCTCTGGAACTCTGAGTTGAACAAAACCAGGGACTGTAATAAGGAGCTGGGGCAACAAGGCGCTCTCCCACCAGAGAACACTCACAGAGTTGAACCGCCATGAATGCAATGACGGAGGCAGAAAGCCATGACATTCTTCAGATTTAATGACCTGCAGAGAAGCATGTCTATGAAGATAAGGAAAGAGGAAAACACGTAGAAAGTTCATGCTCTCATAATCATCACATGGTTCTAGAAAGGGTCTAGAAATGTAAATGAATGTGGGAATGTTTCAGGCTGACTGTGTGCTTTATTGAGCACCAAAAAATTAAAAACACAGACATGTTATGAATATAATGAATGTAAGTTGCTTTTAGCAAGTTTGCAGTTTTCTTCAACATCAGTCAATTCATACTGGAATGAAAGTGAAAATATAAAGAATGTGGAAAAGCCCTTCAGAATAATGTTTTTTTCCTTCTTAAGCAATCCAATATTCATACCTGAGGGGAAAAACAATCTATACATTTGTTAAAGCCCTCAGTTATATCAGAGCTTTTCCTAAATACTGATCAGCTCACATTCAGGAATAACTCGGAGGAATAAAGAAAGAGGAAAAAAAAAAATCTCCAACTTATCATCTATAAACACAGATAAAATAAAGGTTCTTCTTTGTAGTATCTGTGGAAGGAAACCAACCAGAACATGCTCCATTTGGGACCTCCACGCCCCTCTCAGCCTCATATAAATGCATGAAGTTGCACATGCAACTTCCCACATGGAAGCTGCCCTGTTTCTTACAAAACTCCAAAGTAGGTAAGTAGTTTTATTTCTCAATCCCCTTCCACAAAGGCTCCGTTGGAGGCAAAATAAAATTTTACCTCTCATGTTTAGAGATGATAAAACTGAGAGGTTTTGTTTTGTTTTTGCTCTTCCTCTGAGTTGTTCTTGAACGTGAGCTCATCAGTATTTAGGGAAAGCTCAGGTATAACTAAGAGCTTTAACATATATTTTTTCCCCTAAGCTAAGAAGTACAACATATTTCAACTAATAAAGAGCTTTTACTCTGAGCAGGTATTGGCACCACTTACCATCGTTCACACAGTTGCAAAATCCACACTGATACCTCCTTCCTCCTTCAATGAACTGCATAAATGGGCACATGTAGGCTTTGCACCTGTTGCATCTGACTGGTCCATTCTCTCCATGATTTACCAAATAAAGGGGAGTCTATAAGAAGCAAGTAAAATGAAGAGATAGGTGGGTACAGGATTTCAAGGTACTTGAGAAATACTATGGAATAATTTTAATTTGAAAAGTCTTCCAATGGCATTCATTAAGAAACTCTTAACTCTTGGTGTTCACCAGGAGAGTAAAGATGTCTCTCTTGATACCTTCTGAATTCAAAGAAATACCCAAACAAAAATTAATTTGAATTTTTATCTCATTAATAAGGACATATGTATATATGCGTATTTATGTATATGTGCATATATATGTATTTATCTGTACATGTGTGAAGGCAGAGAGAAAATATAATGATGGCAATAATATTTAATAAAGCATATGTTAAAAATGTCCTGGACACCTTATATCACATATTTTGCTAACTTTGTTCATTGATTATAAATAAAGTGAATTGGGTCTGATTTCAAAAGCTCTAGTTTGGATAGAGCTCTAGTTTGTTTAGATAAGTTCCATCAAAGAATACAAAATGTTTCTTCAAAAATGAAACTCTCTGAAGAAATATACAATAATGTTCACTTTAAGGCAAGGACCCTGATTCTGCCTCTTCTGTTTCTTTATCCCATGACAAAACATACTCTCAAAGTCGCTGGTCATGCTTTGCCAGGACTGAAAAAATAAATATTTCAATTGCTTCTTCCTCATAAGCATGAATAGAAACCATTTTATAGCTTGAAAGTGAAAAAGCTCAGCATTAGAGTCTGCCTTGTTTCTCAACTCTTTTGGCTTTCAGAATAAAACCACAAAGATTCTTCTTGCTTTTATAAATCTCCCTTAAAGATAACATTTCTAGAAAAGCTTGAGAATTACAGGGTTTGGCATGTTAACAAAGTTTTTCTTAAAAAAAAAAAAAAAAGAAGATGTAAATAAAGCAGACTGCTTTTTAATGGAGACCTGAAGAAGAGGAAGGTGGCGGATGAGACAGGGTCAGAAGGCCATTTTCTACTCAACTTAGAAAACTGAGATTTACTGTTTGTCCTTGTCCAGATGTTCAATGTGAAAACCAATCCACTGCTGAGGTTTCAGAAATGAGCTGTGAGATCTCAACAGAAAAAACAACAACAACAACAGGTTTGAAGAAGGGGCGCCTGGATGGCTCAGTCAGTTAAGCGTCTGCCTTTGGATGAGGTCATAATCCCTGGACTCTGGGATTGAGTCCTATATTGGGCTCCCTGCTCAGTGGGGAGCCTGCTTCTCCCCCTCCCTCAGCCTGCCGCTCTTCCTGCTTGTGCTCTCTCTGTCAAATAAATAAGATCTTAAAAACAAAAAACAGGTTTAGTATAATACATAAAAGAATCAGGAGAGGGTCTTAAAAAAAAAAATTCAGGATTAGTCCCCACTGCCTCTGCACTGCCCTCTCCCCCTCCTCTTGCCTCAAGGAAGGCAGAAAATAGATTGGACTTCTCATATAGGATCTCTTCTGATCCCTAACATGGGCATAGCTCTGGTGCCCCACTGGTAGGATTGTGACAGGGATTAAATGAGGGATCCATGTGTGGTACTGAGCACTGTGCCTGGCACAAAATTATTGGGTAAAAGGTAACTGTTGCTATCATAACTATATAGAACCACCTTTCTTCTCTCAAAATCACTGAGCTCAGGAGAGAGTGTACTTAACGGCAGATTACAGTTTGATAAGTTTAAGATAGGCTTGAGTTTCTACAGGCATTTGTTTATATAAACATTTTGATTAGCTAACTTGTTACTGTAAACTGCCACTGTTAAAATGATCTAGAAGGGAGGATATCTACCTTCCAGGAAATTCTGATATAATCTAAAGGATATAATCTAACGGTTAAAGCCGAGAGCCACAGAAGGTTTTAAAAACCCTCCCCAGGAATTTGACTTAAATGTATACATATTCAAATACAGACACATACAATACTTTTTAATACAAACTCTGTGTTTGAGAGGCAAAAAATGACAAGTGTCTGTCCTCTTTAGCTGGTCATAATAACTAATCTGAAGGGACAAAAGGAAAGCAAACAAAAAGATGCAGGTCCCAACCAGAAATTCTCAGGATAGTGAATGGAGAATTAGAGTAAGAAGTGAAAGTAACAAAAATGTAATAATAAGATGGCTTTTTCTGGATCAAAACTCCAATTATCAGTCATGCCTTTGTTGCTGTTCAGCTTTACCTCTGAGATCAGAAGATACTTTGAAGAATTAAACCAGGAAGAAGGTCTGCAATTTGCCTGCACTCCAGCCAACTTTACTTGTCTCATCCTTTTATTTTGAGAGTTCAAAGACTATAATCAATTCCCTGAGAGACTTTAGAAATATGATGCCATTATTTGCCAAAGCAGAGGTAATACGAGGAAAATTAGCCTTATTTTTACTGATATGATTTACCCAAAGGCAGGCCCAACCTAAAATTACTGTGAAACTGTCGGCAACTGACACCTGAGCATTCAAGTCCTGGCAGATTCAAACTTGCAGAACCAAAAACAAATGTCTAGTAGTAAACTGGAGTCGTGTAGTGACTGAATCTAGGCTGTTAAATACACTTACATTTTTTCTATTTTCAGTCTTTTGGAAACTGCATGATGGATAGATAAGTAAGGTCTTCAGACAATTGAGGTGACAGTAAAGAATGTTAAAAGCTTTTTAACTGTTTACATTTTCTTTTGGGGCAACAGGACAAGGGTTCCTAAATTACACTGCCTTATTTCATCTCTCTCAGGCCATGTTGAAAACTATCAAACTATCAGAGATTTTCTTTGCTCTCTCCAGATGTCTGCTTATCTGCTCTACAGTAGTCTGCATGAGCTCATAAATAGCTAATCTTATTCTTCTGAGTTCAACTTCAGTGTATTCAGCTTTTTAAAAAAAAATCAAATTACTTCCCCTAAAAAATCTCTAAGGTTTTTTTTTTTTTTCTTCACGAAGGACATTATATCACTAACATTTTCAGATTCTATAATTTTGTTTATAAATTGCTTTAATCTTTTGGCTTCTAGTATATTCCTGTCTGCTCTTTCTTTTCTGTTCTTCTCATACATGGAAAAAGTGAAAGGATGGAGAGACTGGCTCTAAAAACGTCATCCGGCTATTCTTGGCTCTGGTCCTGTGTGGCATGAGTTTATACAACACGGAAGTGATGTGGAAACTGAGGAAGGAAGAGGAAGAATAATAGTTGAATCTTTTGCTTGCAGTTTTGGATTACCAGGGCTATGCTTGTCCTTTACTGGTACTAATTTTAATTAAGATGCTTTAATTGAATAAAATGTCTCTTTTTTGTGCATGTATAATACCATGCTCCACACTGGGCCACAAGAAAGAATATAACTCACTGAGAAATGAGGTTCAGTGTTGAAATGATGTAAGTGATTTAAAAAAAAAAAACAAAAAAAACTTTTGGGTTAATTTTCCAAGTAAAAGGAGTAGACAACAAGATGTATCAATCAATAACTCCTTGGTACTATGACTACAATTTTTAAATTTTTCTTATATTAATATATTATCAGTTTCCCAACTATTCCTGCCATTCTCTCAGGGAACTTTAACATTTATTTGTTCAGTAGGTGCTGAGTATATTATGTGCCTTGGTGGGGCATTCAATCTGTCAGGATAGAAAAGACATTAAATAAATAGGCATGCAAATACGCAATTAAAAGAGTAAGGTAGGAATAGAAAGAATTCTATTTATATATAAAAGTTATGAAATAATCATTAATAAAAGTTCTCTTTAGCTGAAAAGGCAATGTTAAACGATTCGGATTGTATCCCAAAAGCAAAAATAGATACTCAAGGAAAATGAAGTACAATGTAGAAAGATCCCAAGTGAAGAACTGTTAAGATTTGTAGCCTATATGCTCTGTTTTGGATCTATATAGCTAAGAAAAGTCTGAATACACAGGTCTTGCTAGTCTCTCTTTTAGATGAAAGATGAATACCAGAAAGCACCTCAATATTAAAAGCTGATTATAACTAAACCAGGACAACTAAAGAAAATATGAGGGTTTTTTGTAGCACAGATCCAGTAGATGGCACTGTGCAACTAAAAATTAAAACTATATAATTTACTCAGTAGGTAATAAAATACTCAAGATAATTATGCCACATTCATTTATGTAACTCTAATAACATTTAACTAAACTTATGTCAGCTATTACTGTCACAAAATTAAGAAACCTATACTTCACTTGAAAAAAAATTAAATAATGGTTTAAAATATCCTGGATGAAACAAAATTAAACATGAAATACAGGCTACCTTAAGTATAAATTATATGGAAATTACAGAATTTGTCAAAATTACTGAAGCTAATAGCCAAGAAAAATTTAATTCTAAGTTTCTAATCCCCTAACTGATTTTTCCTTGACTATACATGGGAAAATAAGTAGCCCCAAAGTACAGTGGGCAACCTAAAGATGACCTGGAAAGAGAGTGGCCCGAGGAAGCAAATGCCCCCATGGCCAGTGTCCACTTCCTACTTGTCACATTCGCATTAAAGGCCAAAATAACAAAGCAAAGTTAGTGAAGCTTGCATCATGGTGCTCAGCAGTACACTGTGATGGAGAAATTCTTTTTTTTTTTTTTTTAGATTTTTATTTATTTTAGAGAGAGAGAGGTAGAGTGCACACACCTGAGTGCAGTGGAGGGAGAGGGAGAGAGAGAATCCCAGGCAGATTCCTCCTAAGCACAGCCAACTCGGCCAACGTGAGGCTCGATCTCATGACCATGAGATTACGACCTGAGCCAAAACCAAGAGTCGGACACTTAACCAACTGTGCTACCCAGGCTCCCCAAGAAATTATTTTCTAAAGCAAACATCTACCTTCCTGTTGGAACATCAAATCACAGGCAGGAGTGCGGATGAAGGGAGGAACAGGATAGAGGGGCTAAATCTGAGAGTTCGGGAACACCTTGACTTAGGAAGGTTACACTTGCCCATATCCAAGATATTGCTGGGCGGAAACTGTCTCACATTGCCCCGCTACCTGCCTCCTTATTTTTCAGCACCAGAGTTCTAAGTAAGAGTT